CATGCAATAATTTCTACATTAATAAGCTAGATTAGAAAATCGGACACTATGTTTCAATCACAATCGTTCGGTAGCATTAATTCTAACAAAATTCATTCTACACCGCAAAAATTGATTTCATGCGATTTATATGTGTAACAGCGAAAAGTGTACGTAAAGTAATAATGTATGAGAATATTGCACGATCACCTGATGTAATTCAGCCATGCTGATTTGTCTAGCACGTTCCATTGCCGCAAGAGCTGACTGCTGATGTTCGGCTGGGAGCAGTGGAATAATCTGTGACAGAATAGCATTGTATCGCTTGGCAATTTCGGTCTGTTTATGCATTTCAACATTTAAACCATAACTCATCTCATAATACATCATGTAGTGTCGTTGCATCGCTTCTTTTTCTTGTGAGAGCTTTTCAATTTCCACCCTCTGTTGTTGTACCTGCGTTTGAATAAAATTATATTCCTCCTTTATTCGTTCCAGGTGATCCAAAATTGTCATCTTCATGGTTTGGTGTGGAGTACCCTAAAAATGGCACATTCATCAGTAGCAACAACTAAAAAAAATTGATTTGTTTGCTAGTCATTTGAAATTTCTTTGCAAAAACTTTGGAAACAGTAACTGATAAGACAAATTATCTCCATGTCATGCAAATAGAGAGGCTTCAATAAGATGACAATCAATAAGATGAAGAGCGATTTACATTCTCATTTCCAAAGATGTAAAGGTATCAGCAGTCAACAAACCGTTAAATAGCCAAAAGTCCCAACTACCAATAGTCCCAACTAACTTCCCATAAATCCACTTATTGAACCAAGTCCAACAAGGTTCGCAAAATCATACGAATAAGATTCCGAAGATATCCACAGCAACCCATCCGTACGTCCACGTAAAATTCTTATGAAATCCATTAGCTTCAGACAACCCGAAAATCCTTTTGAAGTAGTCCCGGCGCTTTGTGATTTGTTTAATGAATCACTATATTCAATCTTCGAAGAATCATAATAACAAACGCCACGCACTGCCAGTCAGCTATGTAAGATTCCAGATGTTCCGAATTCCACCCGCATCTGTGAAACTTTATTCAAATTTGAAGGAATATAGTGAAAAAGTCGTGCAGAGTGATTCTGAATTAGACTAGCCCGGAATACAGCTTATCTTCTACTCCTTAGAAATATCACGACATAAGCACGAATCCAAACCGACAGAAACTTCGACTTTTTCTTTACTATCCTTCAAAATTAATGGAGTCGCCATTCACGCAAGATAAATGAGCCCTGCATGGCAAACAAAAGATTCCACATTCTACAAAGGAGTAAATGCTTATTTTGTGATGGAAATAAGCCAAGTACGAAGATCGCTGTCCAACGATAAGCGACAAAAGGAATACTTTTCATGACATGATAAATACCTTCAAATGGTTAATTTAAACAATTAGAGTAATTAGCAGCAAAAACTAATGGATTGCTGTTCTAAATGTCTTACGTTTCCCATCAAAAATTATGTTAATATAATATCATGAAGCTACGATTTAACCTTACAGAATAATAATTCATCCACTGATGTGTATTCTGCTAACATCTAACGTCTAGTAAATCCAATGTGACAGAATTAATTCACTGCATAGAAATTGAGTGTATGTTATAAAATAAGAAAAAACCAAACTATTTGAAATCACTACCCTTCGCATATTACTTAAATATCATATGCCTGAACAACTATGGTAAGCGATTTGAAATTAAAGCAAACACTTATTTTTAACTTTTTAATGAGTCCATCACTGTGGTGACAAACTCCTCAACATAAAGCTCAAAATACCGCAATTAAACAACCAGAAATAAGAACTTTCCAATGCACTGAAACAGACAGCATAAGTGCACGAAATCTAGCACGTTCGATTATTTCGAATTCTCCCGAATAATATCAAAAAAGAGCGTCGAACGACAAAGTCAAGAACAAAATGATCCACAATTGTTTTTTCAAAATTACATAATGGAAACAAATAACGAGTAATTAATAGTCAATGAAAGACGAACTGAGAAGTTAATGACCTGCCACAAGCGATCATTATATCAAATTTACTACAGCCCAGAAACGACTTCATCCAACTGACTTTTAAAGGGTAACCATGAAGAAATAGTACAGGTGTAAACCTGAAAGTGCATTACACTCGCGTCGTAACACCGCACATTTCATCTACCTTGTGTTCATCCCAACAATCAATTTCATTCAGCGAGTTCAGCGAGTAGGTGTCAAACATTAAGTAATTTAGAGATCCCAATTTACTACAGTTATATATTTCTTTTCTTCTCTCAACTGCAGACACAATTCATATTCGAAGCAATGCTTCCGAAATAGAAAACTGGAAACAAACGTCTGCAACGTCTGCACTCTACAATCTCCTCTAGCAACCGTGGTTTTTCAACAAACGAAACCGATGATTATGTCAAAAAGAATGGTCCAATTTGATTTCCGAAACAGCCAAAATCTCATGACTACACAGGGATTTTCACCTCCCTTTAATGAAAATAGAAACACTTAAGACAAACACGTCAAATTTATAGATGAAGATGAAAAAAGCGCTATATTTATGTATGCTTATAGCTGAACTTTGATGTCGGTGTAATAAATCCCGCAAAACAATGTCTCCAATTTACAACTCCGTCACCCATGATTTTCGTTCGAGTAAGGAAGGATGACAATTAGGTACGAAAAGACGAAGATATCGATAAACAGCTAATATTTATATAGTGAACCATTACCTTCTCCCCTCCTATCCCATCTTCTCCACTGCCTTTCTCTCTCCTCCTTGGATAAAGTACTCGTTGAACGACTTTAAGAGACTAATGCAGCTCGCATTAATTAATTTATTACGCTGCGTCTGCGCCTCAAATAAACAACAAAGACAATGGATGTCTTCTGCACTTACCACAGCAATCCCATTAAAAGTAACGATTAAAAAAAAAGACTCAAAGAAACCTGATCACGTCAATATCTTCACTCACTCGGTTATCTTCAAACAAAAGTCGTACTTCAAAAGTGAATTCAAAACTGAACGATGCGAGAGATGCTGTGATGAAACTAAGCCACTCATTCTGGTCTCTTAATTTGAGTCATCTGAACTTAACACTTTTTGCAGTTGCAGTGCTATTACTGAGAGCACTGAACCTCGTATCGTACCTTTTTCGATGAAAAGCAAGACAAGCAAGAAGAAAGAATCCAACTATCAAAACTAAACCAAAAAAATAAGGTGAGCAGCGCATAACCTGAGAGATTAGCCGTAACACCATTTAACTGATCTTACTTTCAAACATACGTTCCTCTAACACTTCGACTAATTATGAGTAAGATTTCTGGCCACACTTGTCTGTTTCAATATGAAATGACTGTCAACACTAGGAACGATTTGTGCATTACAAACCAAAAATGTGAAAATAAGTTATGTACAAATCATTCAGCGATGCATACATAACATGGAATGTTTACTTCCCATCCGAATCATATCCTTTACTGAATAGATAATCACATCACAGTCGTATAATAATGTCGATAATGAGTGTTAACTGGACAACTGGAATGACCGGTAGGAGTGTTTGAGTGACACTCGGGCTAGGACCATCATGAAGAGAAGGATGAGAAGTGCACAACAAACTAATGGATTAAGAAAAAAAAACAACTGCAAACAAATGGAAGCATGCATGCAAACACGTATGCTTACTTCACAACAACTGGAGGAAGAGGAACTCGGGGAAAAGAGTAATATTGTTTAATGAGTGCGCATGCATTGCTGTATGTGTGTATGTGTGCATATGCTTGTGTATGTGTATGTGTGTATGCGTCGTCCATCCTGCAGAGGTAAATCTATGTGGAAATATATATAGATAGATATACGTGCATTCCTGTGTGTGTATATGTGCATGGTTGCAGAGGACATAAAAGTATAAAAAAAGTGGAAGAATAGGAAAGGAAGAGTGAGTGGCAGGATGAACGGATCAGCGGATGGTATGAGCATGCTCTGCCGCGTGCCGCTCGAGTCAACTACCCCTCTCTCCCCACCCACTGCGGATGGGTGGGGAACTGCACACATATACATCTAATCAATATAAAATTTGCGAGTTGTTTGGATGTAAGTTGTCCACACTTACATACAAATATGTCTCATACTATGTCCACGCTCATTGACTAACTTCCTCAGAGACATGCACACTACGCATTGCGAATGCATATGCATATGCACATGTAACCCTAATCCTCCATCTTACCAAACAAACATAAATTTTCCGGGAGTCGATGAACAGAATGGATGAACATATCGATGAAAGAGATTAGAGATGAATGTCATAGCCTTTCCATCGTCACGAAACGGCTAGTGGCTTCCCTTTCGAAACTTCCATTCTTCACCTTTTGCTCCTCCTCCCTTCAACACCTGGGAAAACTGTTGGGTGACTGACATTCCATCACTGCAATTGCTATATTAGTTGCCGCCAAGCCATACCCAATTTCTGCCGCAGCCATGATATTCCAACTAGTCGCATACTTCTCACAACCTACACTTCAGCCAAAAAATAGTCGTAAATCAGTATGATCCTTTGCAGGTTGAACATTTTCCTACCACACTGATCCAATAGTCACTTCCTTGACTTCTGTATTTCAGCACAATACCCAGCAAAAAACAAGAAATTAAGACATCGGTGAAACAAATTACTTAATTGCTTCCAACAATATAATCCCTTTACAGTTGGATGCTACTCTGTTCAGGTCAATGTGCTCCGCGGGGCTTGGATGACGAAACGTCTCTCCAATCCTCACTAAACTACAGATACCATTCAATTTTACTGCAGCAGATTCCACATCTATAACAGACAATCCCAAGCACTTCTTTTTTCTCTTTTCGAAAAGTGAGTTGTGAAAAAATTTGTTAGCCTAATTTAATTTCAGGTGAACTTAGACGCTGTCACTACAACCCTTTGAAAGTCAGAAATAGAGAGAAATGCATCAATGTTGGTGGAAGTTCGGATGGAAACATGCAACGGCCAGAAAGAATATGATACGGGTCAAATTAAAATATGGAAGTAAAACTTTCAGCGAACATGAATTACGGAGGTTCTTCATGAAAAGCATATGCGGAAAAAAGAGAATCCATCGCAATGTAAAATCTTCATTTTCTCTCATCAACTTCAACCGGAGTTACTAATCGGATTTCATATCTTACAAATTCATGCTTTAACAACTATCATTGTTAGGGTATGAATTCGTTCAAATGATGTCCGTGGCTGAAACCTTATAAATTACCCAGTAACCACATTTGAAAGTGATAATGAAGCTTAGCGATCTAGGCCAAATTATTCATCACAATCAAAAAAATTGCATCACAGCAAAGACTACAAACGCTGAAGGTGTCTAAGAAGTTAACGAAAAGTCAATATACTTTTAAAATGCCAGGAAATCCAAGATAAAACTAAAGCACTACTAGGCACTTGGGGCTAAACAAACTCAGTTTATGCAAAAAACTAAAATGGGAACCAAAAATTCAAAGAGAGCGAGAGGTATGTGAAGATACTTGAATATATATAGTTGAAGCATTTAATAGCAATTTGAAGGATTTTGAGTCCACTGAGTGTAGTCAACGAAAACATGCTCCTGCAGAAACAACACCTATTAAGCTAATACAACTCAAGGTTTGGTCAAAAAAAAATCCTTTTATAATATACTCGGAAAAATTTAATCCAACCTTTAAAGTTTCCTTGCGCACATCGTTTCGTTTACGAACCTTAGCAATCCAACTTGATGCAGCCATCCGGATTTATTTCCCTTTTTAACCAACAAACACCAATTTCCATTGGTCGGTGTAGCAATGTCCAGCAATTAGATGAACATTCCAAACGAATGATGAACTGCAAAAACACAATATAAAAATTTGAATATCAACGGAAAATTTTAACGCGAATGGCAGAGTTTCGCGAGCTAGTGTGCACTAAGCTGAAAATTATAACTTTGTAATTCTTCATTAAATATTTTGTCTGAGAAAAGCTGACGACCAAGAAGTTCATAAGAAAAGTGGTGCAAAAATGAGATAAAAACGCAACTGAAATTTGCTGCATACTGTGAAACAAAGAAACAATGGAAGTGAAGAATTTGAAGGACAAGCTAAGGGACTTGCAGCAAAGATTAATTTGGGAATAAAAGGTTGAAAGAATTAGATAATGGCAAACCTATTAATATTGCCAATCTAATTCAAGAAATGGAACAGATTTGCAATTCAGCAAAAGATAATTGCATAAAATCATAATATCTATGTACAACTCAGCTATTGATAACGTTCCAGCATTAAAATGCATTTCAATGGCTTGAAAAAAGTGGTACGAAGGAATAAAGGGTACAAAGGAATGAAAACGGTGGATGATACAATGGTTTTTAACTGTACGCCGAATATATTTCTACAAGATTAGGAATAATTAAACAAGTATTACAGCAAGTATCATTAAACCATAATGCGACAAGTAGCAAGTATTATAACTATAGCAAGCATTAAACAGAACACAGATTTCCAGTAATACAGGCAAGTGTCATTAAACAATAATGCAACAAGTAGCAAGTAATATAACTATAGCATGCATTAAACAGAACAGATTTCCAATAGTACAGCTTCATTTTTGCAGTTTCTGTGCATAAGCTGGAAAAATTCAGCATTGATAAATCCCATCATATTTATTAAAAAAGTAAAATTAGATAGAGTAACTTGGATGAAGAAAAATTTGCGAGAAGGCAGAAGAAACAATACAACAGGATTGTTGGCTAAGATAACAGCAGAAGTCTCCTTCGAAGGATGACGTCTTCATTGTAAGAGACAATTCGAGGTTTAGTGATAATCATCTATATTATTAATCTCTTCAAGAGCTCAGTACCATACCCTAATTTATTGCTCACTTGTACTACTCATACCAGAACGATGATCAAATCAGCGTCCTCTTTTATCTCATTTGTATGAGCAGAAGATCGATGGAAGTATTTAGTTAATGCCACATTTTATCAAACTTTATTCGTACAAGTCCATAAATAGTGATGATCCCCAGTAATTAACAAAATAACAGACGCCCCACAGTCTGAATCAAAAACAATCTGAGTTGCATGCGCCTAACCAGCGATTTCGCCTCGGTTAAGATTGAGCAAGTATTCGGGCAAGAGCATCTTTAATTAAATAGTAGCTGAGCAGCAAAGTTAAAACCAGAAGGTAAGATACAAGTAAATTTTCATACGAATGTATATCTTAAAAAAAGTACGGATTTCATGGAACTCAACAACGTAAGAATGATGATCCACACAAACAATTTCGAGAGCTCAATATGAAGAAATGCGCTGAATGGCTAGGAATCTAAAGAAACTCACGCAAGTGCCTGCACGTAAGACTCCGCTGAAACTAAGAGAAAAATAGCTGAAGACTTTCAGTACCAGAAAACAAAAATAACATGATGAAAATGAAAGCCAGAAAGTGTAGTTGTCATTTTGACAACATTCATTAAAATGTTGGCTTTTCGAAGACAAATCAAATAGAAAACAATTCGAAGCTCTCACATTTAGATACCCTTTTCCTTTTCCATCCCCATAACCTTTAAATTTTGTCGAGCCAGTAAAACTAAAAAGAAATTTAATGTGAGAAAATCACTGCTTATCTATCTCAAGCGTTTTCAAAGCCCTTCTCCTCCTTATCACCTGAAATAACTTTGGCAAGGAAGTATGCAGTTTGTATAATGGAAAAATGTCTGTTATTTGTAATCAAAACATGGATATCAACGAATATGAGTTAAAAAAATCAAAAAAGAAGGAAAAAAGTTACAAAACCACTTCGATCAATCGAAAAACAATAAAGCGAACAATCCCTTCCTGTCCTTCCACTAACAGTAATGCTCTCATGAAACAGAAAAAATAATTCACAAGGTAATTTTAAAAACCAAAAAACATTCAAAACGGAAGGCAATAAGTTCAGTTTGCAAATGATTATTAAACTGCGTTAAAAAAACTATTAATAATGGTGAATAACATAAGCGGAATGGAGGGATAGAAAGGTTTGGGAATGGGAATGTCAAGGGGAAGTGGATATGTTGATGAACGGGAGAAGTCGCGTGGGAAACAAATAGAAAAAGAATTACACTCAAAACGACGAACTGTGCATCCCTTCGAGAATGGTCATAAACATTCTACAACGAAAATGCAAAACGATTAGATTTTATTGCTACTATTATTATCTGTAAGGCCGCACAGCATCAGAGACTACAAAAAATGTTCCTTTCTAAGCATTTATATACTGAGTGCTCGGGTAACGAAAACATGATTCGAACACTGCGACAAAACTTTGCGGATTTTCCTTATTCTTTTACAAACCTAAAATTGCAGAGTAATATTTAACAACTAAAAAAATGTCAACAACACAAACGCACTGTAATTTAATGTGGCATTTTTCACATCAAAGAACTTTTGCCAAACTCAACCAAAGCTAGCAATCATAAAGTGTCCCTATTACCTCACTATCAATACCAGTGCCATCAAACACAGTACAAGCCATCACCGCACGTGGGATATGACGGGTGACGTATTTTTAATCAACACTCCAGTAACCGACCACCATTTATTAATAACTGACCACCAGCCATTAATGGAAATACAATCTATATTGCTTCAACTCGGTAGGCTAGAGAATAATAGCATATCCTACAAGACTGAGATTTCTTGTACACATCATGAAGTAGATCACTCCCTATCAAGAACAGTATACCATTATTCCACACAAATTCCTCACCAAAAACATCAATCAAATTCTTGAAAGACATCGATTTAAAATCACTTAAGAAATTATCAACAACTTTACTGCTTAATCCTTCTTGAAGCGATTTGACAAATAACATCACCCATTAGAGTCGGGTGACACAGCACTACAGGTTAACTGGCATATGAAAATAAACCAGATTAGATGAAAAATAGGAGTGTTTGCCGAACTTCAGCCCCAGGACTTGTGGCACAGCATCGAAATACAGCTGAAAACTTAATAAGTTTCTGTTTCAAGTTAAATTGATTATTTAAGCAAAAAGAATTTATTGATACCGAGAAATTAATCAATGACGGTTCTATCTCAAAAAAACCTAGTTTTAACAACCTACTAATCCTCCCCAACCAAAACTTAACCAAATTACAAAACGTAAAATATCGTTGAGCAGCAGAACCACTGGTGGATGAAAACTGCAATTCAAACACAATTGTCCGAACTTTATTTAACTTCCCAAATGGAAAAATATGTGCACAACGTGATGAAAACAGACATTAATTTCCATCAAGAATAATTTTAAAAAAACAGGAAGACAATTTCGTAATTTCCAAATTTCAGTGATTTGGATCTGGAGAGCTCTATAATATGTTAACGGTTGTCAATTGGGTAGAATTACAACCACCAAGACATGACACAATTTGGATCACTCTTTAAACTTGACATTAGACCATAGCATTGATTTGTCCTACTATCCATAAATTCACCAGTGATACTATACACCATTTCTTCGCTTAAATTTTGCTTAAGCTTAAATGTTTCGTGGTCAAAGATTCGACGTGAACTTAACCATCAGTTGCCAATAGCACTTTTGACCTTAGAACACCGTATCGCAACAATGAGTTCCCGATCAGTGAAAATTTGTGCTTTCAACGTAACTTACAGCAGCACAATTCATTTCATCCTGAAATTGATTGCCGATGTATCGGAACTTACAACCAAAAGTTTGGCACAACTTATTTTCTCCATAAGGAAATATGAAATTAGAAAACGATCTGCCTAGCCCTTATTGACATCTTCAGCGACAAAGATTCTACAGGAATACACGACTTATACTTGCAAAGTCTAGTAAGTCAAATTTCCAATTTGAGTTGTCATTCTTACTTGCAGGCCTACATTCGATATCCGCTGAACTCCAGAAGAGGAATGACTTACCCTTTGCTACTTCGAATATGTGTCGTTCAACCGCATATAACAACAATCATGAAGTCCATTTCTTTCAATTAGTAATAATCATATCAAAAATTTCTTTTCTGTAAACCGTACCATTTAACCGGATAACATACCATTGCACTACTAGATATCATTTCAAGCAGATTAATGCGCCATTCATCTTAAGTAGAAGAAAGCAACAGCTTCTCCTACACGGAAACTGCAATACGATATTGCGCTGCTTCCCGGCTCACAAAAACACGCCAAATTATCTACTTTCATACCTCTGCTTGAATTCGGTAATCTCCTTAATCAACAATATTAACCAGTTTTAAAGGTTACGATATTGCGACTTGTTCAGAACACAATCTGCAGTAGATACTGCAGAAAACAGAATCTGAATCTAAACCTATATTTAGCAGCAGTCGAACAGTACATGGTATACTTGAACTGCTGATGGCTTGAACAAAGCTTCTGGATGTGGATAATGCCAGTCACAATTAATTCATTCTTCCGTCCTGATGTAAGCATCATTCCAAAAAAGGAATCACACTTATCCGACCATTAACGCAAACACATTCGCAGAGAATAAAATAAAGTGTTCCAGGCGGTTTTGATTATCTACGTCCGTTTTTCACCTGATTAGACTATTTATCAAATGCAGCCAACTTAAATATTATTTCCACTCTCTTCTCTCTATCTCATGAGAACTATGATAGTAAGCAACACCACTACTACTAATAAAAGCCATCGACGAGCGTAAACAGTTATACAACAGGTGATGCAGAGACCTGTTCTCCAACATTTAATTTAAATGGTGAAATCATTTGCTTCCAAAATGCAAGTTCAGAGGATGCGTTATAGAAAAACCTCAGAAGCTATATAAAGATGAAAATATGAATAAAAAGAGTTTCCAACTTTAAAAACTTCATTCAGAACATAGAACACTCAAGAAATTACAACAGAGTTTGAGAACTGGCTGGACGACCCAATTTCCTATGAATGTTCACTTAGGAATAGGCAGCTGATGCTTGTCTTCATGAAAAACTGGTTTGTTTCCCGCCGAAAATCGTTTCAAATACTTCAGAGTTCTAAACGTTAACGTAATTTACACCCCATAAATGTAGGTATTGTTGAAGCAACACTCAATCCAATCCAAATAAAAAGGGATGCACAACTGCAATTTTATTTACAAATGCAGTAACTAAAAAGAACTGAGAAGTAATAAAGCAGTATCAAAAAGTAGAACTTTTAGTTATTACAGAATTGTGTTCTCCAAAAATTTATAGCGTCTACATGACAAAAGAAATGGAAAGATATAACAAGATAACCCCACGCCTCAAACTAACAGTAATGATACTTTATGAATGACTTTCAATGGTGATGAAAAGTTGATAAAGTTAATGAAGTATGAAAATGCTGCACGAATCACCGTTCGAGAACCGTAGGTTAATAATAAGAGATATAAAGTGAAAGATGTAATGTGTGAGGAAGAAGCAATTCTATAAGTAAATAATGTGGTGGTCAATGACTAAATTGGTTGTAATGCACTGATACACGAAGATGGACCACGCTTATACCCTGCGCACATATGAGGAATTGTTATCCATCCACTCTTTCTCTTTCCATCGCTAATCCTTTCCCTTCCCATCCTTCCCCTAATATTTTTATAAGCTATTCCTTCAAATGGATGAATGTATAAATGGCCTTGCAATGGAAGACTCTCGACAGCGCAGATCTGTGAAGAAAGATAGACGGAAAGAAGAAAAGAGCCGATTAGGGAATTGAATTTCAATGAGGAGAACGAACAACCACGTATATGCTCTCAAATAACCATTCTTTTCCAGCTTTTTGCATCTTAACCTTACTCAAACTCGTAAAGCATGCAAGCAAATACTAAATGTCTTTCAGCTGCGATCGTATACAAAGATATCATACAAAGCGCTACATAACAAAGTCATTAATTAAATTAATAAATTGCTTTCCAAACAAAGAGTCTGCCTTCCACAACTCTCGTTACAAAGAACATCTCAAACCTCTGAATTAAAAACAGTTAGAAAGAAGATAGGTAAAAGATGTACTGAAACTGAAAAGAAGCTATCGAATCAAATATGATAAATACCAATACCAGTTTAAATAGCTGGTGCAAATTCTTCAGGGATTTACACTGATGAAAAGAGAAGCAACAGGGCGGATCTCGTAAAAAAATCATTGTATGAAGATGTAACCCATAACAGTGCTACTGCACCTGCAATGCAATGTTTTACCCGATACAGAAACTGCAAGAATGAATGCTGCTAGAAACTGCAAAATTGAATGAAGACTGCTTTCCTTTACTTGAAATGAACAAATTTCAAGGGATGAGTGGTGCAGAAAAGTGCTTGAGGAATGTGAATAATTTATAATAGACAAATTGAGTGGAAGAGTGGCCGCTGGGGATGAGACAAGTAAATGAAGGAAGAAAGCGGCATGGAAAGGAAGCTCTAAAAGCCACTCGCTCACATCGCTATTCGTGCTTCCCTCATCGGCAAATAAACTTATTTGAAGTGATAGCAATTGGATCGTTATCCAAAGAGTGTATATGTATGTATGTGTGTGTGTATGTATGTATGTACTTGTGCGTGTATATGTTTGTGTGTGCTTTGCTTACACAGTTATTGAAGGAACTAGCAAACAGATGTATCCATCCTTAATGTCACCATTATTTCTAACAATAACATTAAGAGGGGAGGGCGGGAGTGAAAGTTTGAGGGAGGAGAAATAGCGAAGAAATAAGCAGAACACCCCCTACTGATACTAATGAATGGATTTGTACACATCATCGAATCTGGACGGGTTAACCCACTACTGCTCTCCTTCCTCCTCCGCTACTCTCTCTTTAATGAAACAAGATATCCGTGCCCAGGTATCTTCTTTGATGCCCCTTACAAACAAACACTTTAACAAGCATAACGAAACATCACCATACTTCTTTGCATCTTTCGTCCTCCCCTCCTCTCCTCTAAGCCCACTATTTTCCTTTTTTCCTTCTCCACTTCAGAAATACTTCCAAGACTTCACACTTCTTTTAGCGAGCTCTCTCTTTCAGCAGTTTCATCTTCTTTTTCTTAAGCACTCTCATGCAAACTCTCCGCACGCACCATCACTAACAGCAGCATCGAAACTATAAGAATGTTAAGATGGGACAAATGGAATTGTCCGGTAAGCACCACTAACTGATAGCTTGTTACATCTGGACCGAAAGATTATATGGAAAAACGACCGAACTGTCTAGTGATGAGTGTGACGACGAATTATCCCGGGCACTCATCCATTCAAGCAAATAACAGCATCATCTCATCATCGATCGCTTTCAGCACACCCGAAATTGTTCCACCACTATCATCCTCTCTTTTTCCACAACCTCCATCTTCTGCTGATGATGCCCATTGCTTTCCAGCAACAAAAAGGTTGTATTACATGGTACTTAACCCATCTCCATCCCATTCCAACTCTTTTTATGCATAAGTTCTGTCCGAAAGAGATGAGGGGAAAAGGAAGTGCAAAGAACAAAAAACTAAATATGGCATACACCAATCTACTACCGCAAGAACACCTTTCGTTCTCATCCCTTTCAATATTTAATTTTGAAAACTCAATCAAAATTTCGCTTCTGTACTCATGTCATCATATATCATGTAATTACTCATGATATATGTATATATATATATATATATATATATATATATATATATATATATATATATATATATATATATATATATATATATATATATATATATATATATATAT